TGGATAAAGACTGGAGTACAGAGGTCTGTGCTGTTCGGTGGGAGTGGGACTGAAGGCCCCAAGTAATAAAATGCCTAAAAGGGTGGAGCGGCTCTCAATGAACCAGAGGTGAGCGGTCTATGTGTCACCCTCAACGCTGCAATAATGAACATGTCTGAGTTTCTTCACACAAACACTTTCCTTATAGGGGTAACTATTGCTTTAGCTGTGCATGTAGAGGGGAATAAACAAACAGATTGTTGAGCCTTTAATTCATCTCTCTCTGTACCCAATTTCAAGGTGACATTAGCAGACTCCATGGAGAAGCTCACTATCCCGTGGAAGAAAACAGTGAACTTGCCTTGTCTTCTATATTGTGCCGAGAAGGATGAATGGTCCCCACAGCCTGCAGTGCAGATACACCTACTAGAAAGCCCGTCTTCTTTGACACGTCAAGGTCGTGAGTTGTCCATTTGTTTAAAATGTCAAAGAGATAGTAATTTGGTTGATCAAATTTAGGAAATCGTAGCCGTGGATAAAATCAGACTGAGCTTTATTTCGTAAAACTAAGGTCCCATTTCAGTAAAGCAAGTGAGGACACCTTAGAAGGAACTCACTCCGGTTTAAGCTTATGTCTAGGTGCTACCACACCTCTCACACCTTACAATTTAAAGCAGTTATATTGCACAAATTTTCAAATATGCTTATGGCCTTTCGACCCTTCTGTGCCTTCGAATAAACCTATTCTGTAACACTAGTATGTATTAGCACGAGGTCAGAAATGATCCGGGGCTATAAAGCTACACGTAGGTTACAAGACAAAACCATACCAGCATTGATCATTACAGCGTTCGGTATCCACCAGGTAATGGAAAGTGGTGCAAATTCTAATCCAGCTCCCTTTACTGCCTCCACTTGGGCTGTAAGAAATTTTGTGATTTGAATGTCAAATTATGAGTACGATATGCCTGATTGTATGCTATAATTTTCGCTTATTTTCTCCCGTTGAATAAAAGAATCTACTGAAATTCGACCTTCTATACATAGGAACGGAGATTTAACAGTTTCAAAAGATACGGCAGCTTTTCATCACTTGGAGGTGTGACCGTAGCATGCACCACCCATAATAAATGGGTTTGTCTATTTGCTTCCGATGACGTATCACGACGTCCAGGAAGACATAAGACAACTTGACTCTTCACCATGAACATTTTTCTGTGTCGTTGTCGGCGAAGACCTTTTGGAAGTGGCAACCGGAGAGGGAGATGTTGGTGGAAGCTAAGCAAATGCCTACCACATACCAGTTTATTGTTCCACTTCTTTCACCTACGTTCCATAAGCGCGTATTTGTTCCCTCCGGTGCTCACTGACTGGCTGAAAGGCTGAAAGACTTGTGATGAGATATTAACAATGCGTTGTGAGGTCAGTTGAGCATTCTGCGCTTCTATGTTATGTTCAGCAGAAGGAATTGCGCAATTGGTTGAGATGCATTTACTGCCTACAGCTTAACACAAGCGATAAAAAGGAGAAGCTTTAATCCCTTCTCTTTCTTTTTTCTCTCCTGCTTCCGCATCTATTTCACCATCCCCATCTCCCTTCCGTAGACAAGGGGTCAGAACTTGTAAGTCAGTGAGAAGAATGATGCCTCTGCTAGGCAAGGCAAGACGCCTTACAATGGCTGCAAAACTTAGTTGTGGGAAATATACACTTTAAGATGGGAGAGGAAGAAAGAAAGAATGCGGCGGAGAGAGAATGGGTGGAATAGGAACAGCGCCTCATTCGCATCATCATCACCTTCTCCATCCTCCTCCTCCTCCACATCCCCATGATGCTATTCTTCCGCGTGACTATTTACGGTTTCTAGCCACGAGGCAATCGCATACCACACAAAATTGGCAGTTGAACAAAAAAAATGAAATAAACTCATGTAAAGTTAAAATTTTTGTTTCCAGTGTCGAAGTTTGCCACATAGAGTGGGATTTCAAGCAGCTCTGTATTACCCTAAGCAAGGATGATAGATTGGTGATTTTGGTATATTTTGGGAACCTTTCTGGATTTATTTGATTTTTATGCAAATTACAACACAAACCTAATTAGGATACTTTATACCCATCAAAAATCATGCGGTAATTTTAATTACTTTTGCCTTATCTAAAGTAGGCATCTCATTACACACTGCTTAACACTGTTCGATGCAAACACTTGAAGTTCTGCGAATAAATGTAGGTAAAATGAGGATCATAATTGCTAAATCTTGTTTTCTAAGGACTGTCCTGAGGCGATTCGGAAAATTTGGCTAAAATTTTTACTTTTTAATGATGGAACTCACTCACCTGACATGGGTGGTATCACTAGCGCACATGCGTGTTGGCCATGAGCATCACCCATGGGAGTTAATTTATCCTCTATGGTCACTCGGTTCAGAACAGTGGCACACACCAGTTACTCAAACTCGAAGATAACTAGGTGCCGTCTTGTACATCTGCACGGGAGCCACCGGTTAAACAAATCTATTTTTTTAAATTGAGTAAGGATTAGGAGTGCTTGGCCTTCTCTATCTTCTTTGGGCATTTTATTGGGCCACAGCAACTTGACGACGATGATGGGTCTTTAAATAGTGAATCTGTTACTCGAGTATCGCCTGAAGTTGATGGAGATGTTAATACAGATAAATATTCTGACTACCTTCATTGATGCCCAATAGGAGCATTATGAACCGATGGCTTCGCCAATGACATTGCAGGTTTTGCCATAAACCGACTCGTGGTTCGGATGGTATGAAGATTTGTTAAAGGTAGCAGAATGGTGTTTATAAGATACATCTTCCGCTTCGCTAATTGGTCCAGAAGTGCTTGTTTAATATTACAGTCTGATACCAATACAGCATCACAAGGCTGCATTTTTGATGAAGCGGCGGACTCCCTAAGGCAGCACTTCCGTAACCTCCTGATACATGTCAGGATCAGGAATTATACACAAAAAACGGTTTAAATTAAGGTACTTAGCCAACTAACGATTCAAACCACCCATTTTTATCCACGGCTTCTTGTCACACGAATGTTACAGATGTTCCAGTACTTCTGCCAAATCGGTGAAGAATGCCACGTTTGATCAATCTTCAACATGACACTAATTTGATCTTCCATGGGAATGATGCAGTCTGGAGGTTTGTACAGACAAGTATTCCGCCGTCTTGACCCATTGGAGCTTGAATCACATCCTGACTCCAAGATTAAGGGAACTCTTTTTCTCTCTAATTACACTACCGAGCTTGGTAGTTTTTCAGGTTCTAAAGCTGGTACTGATGCACTAGTACCAGCAGAATAACTGTGTTGATTGCAGGAAAGGGTGCTGCCAGTCCTGCCCGGTTAACTCTAAGGCGAATACTAACTCATAAAGTAGATGCAGTCGAAGCAATCGTTTCATAACCCGCTGCACTTCACCGCTAGTAGTGCTCTATCATTTGATCAAATGATTACCCAGAGCAGCTACAACTAGACGCGAACAGAGGAAATTGGTGGCCCATCGTAACACTAATACTGCCACTGCTGATTGTGGTGGTGAAGTGGCATTTCCATGATAGCTGTTGTACTGAGTTTTTTCACTGCACATCATCCACTGGAATGTATCACGCCGCTAAGGCCAGTTTAAACCTGTTTGGCCTCATACCTGCAATCAGCCACCATCCACAAGTCGTGGTGTTGCGATATGATTACTGGTAAATGATATTAGCAGTAGTCCTTTTTAGTCTCAGAATCATCACCGTGTTAACCGAGAGAAGCAAATATCCGCTTGAGAAGGAGGGCGGTGACAGAGATGATGCCCCATTACTCCTTATCAGTGAATATGTAGTATCCAAAAAGCGATACGATTGCTGCACTTCAAATCGAGGGCTGTGCAGCACTGCCATCACTCACGCCCTCTGAGCAATCCCAATGACTGCCACAGAAGGTCAACATGCGACAAGGTTTGACACTCTCCCATGTGCATATTTTTGAAGGTTGCTTGGTATTTGATGAATTTGCTGCCCAAAAAAATGACATCACATATCCTGGCATCATGCCAGCTTCAAATTTAGCACTCTCAATCTAGTAGGCAAGCAGAGAGAGCTTTTGATGCGTTCAAGGGGACACTATCGAACGAGAAGAGAAGACAATAGCTTGAGCTGCTCCCATCTAAAATCGCAAGCCACCAATCGAGGCAAGACTGGCTCTAAGAACAAAGCATTGTTTTCCTGCTATGAACCAGAAAATGCATTACTTTATATTCAGACAGTTTATGAAGTGGCCTTTACGTAAAGGACTATTTTTAGTTCCATAGAGCATAGACAGTAATTGAGTACCTGGGTTTACTGGGTATTTCATCAGTAGTGCAGAATTAATCACCGTGACGTCCAGTTTAATGTGCTTGAAATTCTGATGTCAGGCTTTATTTGATCCCATCAACTATATCCAGATTAGGTGGTGGTGAGTGTGTGATGGTGGAATATTTTCATTTCCAACAAATTGGTGACTTCAAGCAGAGTTGAACAATGATTGTGCAATGAAACTCTCGGCGATAGGACATTTGGATTGTAATGATTGTACATCTAAGGAGGCAACACATACTCCTTTGTTGACAGTCCATTCCTTCCCGTGAAAAATCATTTACCGCAAAAAAACCTGGACACGGCTGCGGGATCCACTAAGGAGGCGCTTCCATATTCTTATGACAAAACATCCTAGATGTTAGCTGAACGCTGTACGTAGTTAAGAAATTTGCTCCTTCCTTTCTCAAATATATTTGGTCAGCTACTGGGTAGCTATCCATTTTCTGTTGTTAATTAGAGAATCAGATGTCAAAAGTTTGAAAGTTTGACTTATTTAATTGCTTAAATGGAGATTTTATGCCAGATGTAAACAACTGGCGGTTCTATTTTAACCACAATTCATGTTTATTATTTCTGACATAAGCATTTGCTTTAAAATTTCAACAGAAATGGCCTTCTTAAAGTGAGTTAACGTGTTTACAATTTTTCGATGATGCGGTGCTATCGCATCCACTTTCCTGCAAACAACTCCTCTCATGTTTTGTCTGATCCAGTAATTCAAAGGATCTGTCCATACTTTCGTTTATGTTATGTTTTATGCAAAATTCAGAGGCCTACAATCGCACTTTGTTTTGAGAAAATGTCGTTTATGTCTTCGTACTGGCAACGATCGCGTTACTCCAGGGTTGAATGTTTACCCGCAGGCGTAAATCATTTAGGCGCTCTCCCTAATAAAGATTTGTGTCGCTTTACCCTCCCAAGGTACCTTTTTTACATCATATATCATCAAAGCGCTTTTAAGGTTTGAGCTCAAGGGTGTAGGTCAAATGATGTAACATCACTTTCAAAGTTGTATAGACCCGTTTATCCTAACAGTTTTGCCTTCTCCGATTCTAAATCTCCCCTATCGAAAAGAATAAATCATTCTACAGGTGTTACATTACCGATTACATGGGTGAATGGTATGGACGAAGAAAAATAGGCATCAAAACCGTCACTTTAGGGTTTAGGAATGAGCAATAAATTTTCAGACGTGTTCGTAGTCCACTGCAACATTTATAAATCTCTTTCAAATAATGTTTAAAATGTTTCGTCATGAGAAAGTTTTCTAGGACGATCGCAGAACACCCAACGTGCACTACCTTTCCAAGCAGCAAATACGTTTGAATGATTTTTCCCATCCCCGGCGGAAAAGAGTTTTTTGCAAATCCCGCTTCAGGATTTGATTCTGAATAGACATTTAGTATTAGGCAGGCGTTCTACTTAATGGTTTTGTCTCGGAATCACCATGAATGAGCCTTACAGCGACAGCCATACAGCCGTTCCAACATCCTACCAATGAGCCTCTGAGTGGAACGTCCACCACCTAAGACGTCTTCTCTAGATGCTTGCGAGATCACTAGAATTCTCATCCCCGTACGCTGCTCCGTGAGCATACTCTGTTAGCGCCTCATGTAGTATGAAGCCATCCGGGTGGGACTGGCGCGGCTCGTGACATGCTCTAACTATTACTTTTCGTCGAAGGACCCACCGCCTCCTTTTGGCTCCAATAGTGTCACAGAGATCTTGTTCTTAAGGCAAAAGCTTTCCTCGTTGTATTCGGCTTCTTAAAAGGATTGTTGCATTACCAATTAGGGGGCGGACCGAATTCCATTTAATGTTAGCCTGAATGTGTATCCTTGACCATTCATGTCAGATACCTTTTGTGCATTTGAGTTCCCTGCCTAGCCACAAACCTCCTTTGACAACCCGAATTTAAAGCGATGGAACAAATTTAGCCTGACTAATAAAGTTATTCGATGACTAAAACTTCATCTGCATCGCGTGACTTTTCTAATTTGCTAAATGAGCGAATTCCACAGCACGGAAAGGCTTTGATACAACCATCAGACATAGCAGTACATTAATTAGGCTCAGAAGCAGGAAATGTCCCTCCTATTCGGAAAAATGTCCAAAATCATGCTACCTTGTACAAATGTCACGTAAGGGTGGGGGGTCATCCAGTGAACAAGGAAACACCCCAAATGCTTGCCAGTAGGAAGCCATCTACATGTAAGCACAGCTTGGTATTCGACATGGTGGCAGAAGGCGCTGCTTAGAAATTGCTTAAATACCACATTTTGTTGCTGTTCCCTACCATGGAGAACTTGCTGTCACTTATAAACACGATTAATCAAAAAATAAGGTGGCAAAACTTGCAGCTATGCTTCCTTCCTTTCCTCCCACCAACTTGGAAGAAAGTGATTATAAAGCTGCAAAGCCAATACTTGGCACTCACCATGTGTTAACAGCTACCAAGAAACTTAAAAGATCAACTATCTTTACAAATGTTGAGTTTTCTACTGCTCAGGGATTGAGTGACTCGTAATGATACCGTATGGTCACGTTCGTTGAGTGTCCGAGCATGTCTTTGCCCATTCCTAAAAGATCCTCCACCCATTTCATGCCTCTAAGTCACGCACCAATTCACGCTCATAAAACGATATTTATTTTGTGGGCGTGTCCGAGGGGGGAATGCAGATACAATTGCCTAATGGTAAATATTCCCCTTCTTAAGGCCAAACAATTGCGGCTGAGATCTACCTTGTTAGAGAATTACATTTTCACAGAGGAAGTAGTAATTATAACTAGAGGGTGAAACCGAGATAAAATTGGAAGTAGATAGAGTTAGGTGTATCCTTCAGGGTATAAAATGCGTTGTAGAAGTGGAGATTGTGTGTGATTAAAAGAACTTTGGATTGTAGCAAACCATTGTGTCTAGTTAATTTGTACCTATGAAATCTACCCAGACAGAATGGAGGTGAGAGGGTGGACGACTGAAGGCATAGACGTGGCACTGAATCACCGATTTAGAGGCCAGACCGCAGAAACAAGAGAGACGACTTGATAAAAAACTTCTTGTGTCAAATAGCGGCTTTTGTGCTCACTTTCTGCATCAACCTATGCAAAGCTACCAGTGAAGAGCAAAAAATGCGTCCGATTGAATGAATGGATAAGAGAGAGTTAATGCTACTGATTTTGCGGTTGGGATTTGTTAGTATTTCATCCCCATGGAAGACTGAACTTTAAAATTGGTTCTAAACGACAAACGATGTTCTGCAACAAGTCTCTCAGAGTATTTATCCTTATTGACCAATTTGGAAAATTCATCATTGAAGAGGCTGCCCTTATTTTGAAATCTCCATAAATTCAACCATCTCTCCTTCCTTCTTTGACACCCAAGTGCGGCATTGTGTTCATTTGGATTAGTCGAGCTTTACCCGTCAAGCAAAGAGCAGCATTTCTATACTTCGAAGAGTAAATTAGCTAGCACACTTCTATTCCAATGCATTCCTTAGGCAGTTCTTGTTATAATTGTTTATACTAAACCCAATTTGTAGCCTAACCTTGCTACCTGTTATGAAAAGAGGGGAGTGCGACCCATCTCTACTTTACAAAAGATTATCAAATCATTGTAAAGGAACAATCGGTTTGTTATAGAAGATGTGGTATAACCAGTTGCCATCGACCGAGAAGAAAAATATGTCATGCTCAGGCAAGAAGTTCTAGGGCGTCACACATGTGTGACGACGATGGCAAATGGGACATGATACTCATTGTAGTGATTAGGTAATGTCAAAATAAACAACCACGAATTTTGTCTAAATGAATCTTCCTTATTCTGAATTGAAACTTACGATGTACTGTAAATTCTTAAGTTATTAGTTTTAAGAGGAATACATCAGGTACTCTGATAATGAGATTTTGCAAATGATCAAACCTCTTTTGGAGAAATCAACGTTCTGTTCCTCCTTGGAGGAATGGCGCCTTCTCAGTCATGCGGCTAGTGCCATCCGGTGAAGAGTCATTCAAAAGGGGTATTATAGTGAGCTCTGATTTGTTTCTCCTCAATTGCAGAATGCATTCCAATGATGACATGACATGATGAAGCATTGTTAGTTTAATTGAAATTATATCAGAGCAGTATAGTTGGTAAAATCTTTGGATTCGAAATTTTCACGTAGCTGGGTCTAATTTATGTGCTGCGCATTTCCAATGAATTCCGACCTGCCTTTCATGTCGGTGACTGGGAATGCCACGTTAACGCGGATAAAAGAAGGCGAATTTTGAATCGCAGCCCATAGCTGCCTCCTTTGCTTGATTTTTATCACTAGAGGTTGATTGTAAAGAATAAAACCTTTAAGTGAATGAGTTCCGTTCGTTTTTAATTGGATTTAACCTGTGAGTTTTAAGATTTTGAAGCAAAAAGTGCTCAAATTTTTCGGTCAAACTGGTAATTAGTTTATTCAACAATTCTCTGCACAACATGTAAAATAACGCCATGCCTCCTTTGGTGTGCGAGCAAATAGAATTTGATTTCAAACAGCTGCAATTTTTTTCATTCCTTAATAATTTATCCTACTATTGTATGTAAAATGAAGAAAGATGCAGCGTCACGTATATGTGACGCTGGTTGCGAATGTATCTGTGTAAGCTCACAGTCGTTATTTGTTCAAAAAAGGTGTGCTTACGGTCAAAAATTAGCATGCCTTAAAGAACCGTGAAGCCTGTATCTTTTGAGTTGCTTCACCTCTTGTTATGGAGGTTTAAATTATCCGCTCCATTTCGGTCTGACCAGTTTTTAGCGTATTGGTTGTCAAATTCGACACGTTTAATCTTTCATGTTTAATTTTACTTAAATAATTTTATGCTTGAGTAACACAATGAGGGAGCTGATAGAAGTGCATGCCTCATTGAACTAGACAGATGTCTCTGAGATGCCGGGGTTACTCCAAACAACTGAAAGCACTGTGGCGACTGGAATTCAAATGAACGAAACATTAATGGCTGGCTTTTAAGCCACTTTAGATATTGTTTAGTCGCAATGCAAAAAAATGCACATAATTTTAATCATTGAGTGTTTTATTACCCGTACCAACACACGCGCATAGGCCTACACATTCTTCTAACATCATATTAAATGGGCATATCACGTGTTGAAATACCAAAGCATTTGCTGCGGTCAGAGTGAATGAAAGCATTCCATTACATTGCATTCCAGTCCCCTACAATCCATTTTATTCCGTAGTTTTATAAGAATTCTCTCGCTCACACCTCTATCAGACAAGTCGTGATCTTCTGTGCAGCAGTGGGAAGGAGGTGCGAGAAGAAGACTACAAAGGTCTTGTCAGACAAGGCACAAAAGGCAACAGTGTTCTGAAAGATCTGTGCAGAAAGGGCATCGCATATTGCGGCCACTCGATTAGACCACCATGAACGGACGCTACAGTGCTTCTGCTTGCTATTCGTATGATTAACTCATGCAAGAAAAATAGAAATTTTTAATGGGTCCTCATTACAAGGAAACAAATTATCTGTTCACAAAGAAACTTCAACACTGTGGAGTCACCTTATGCAAAACTGTGTTTTGATTTGAAAGAAAGCAGAAAAATGGTATTTACAAAATGTGTTTTAGCTAAACTGGAATATTTGGATTTGTCAAGAAGTAAAACAAATTTTAGGGAAAGGAACCTAGATCATTTCAACTTACTCGTCAGTACGGCCAAATGGTGTCATAACAACCTGATTAATTTCATCATCGGTTCTGGAATGCTGAAGGAGGATCCGCAAGCTTCCACTGTTTTGAATTTTGAGTGAAAGATTGGAATTAAAGAAATCCCAACTCCATCAACTCATTCACCATTTCTTCTGTGAAATTGCAAATACTAGCCCATGGTTACTTCTTCTGCAATTTCACCTCGCAAAGAGGTGGGTGGATCAAGCATCCAGAATCAGACAGGTGCTTCCTGCACTGGCCGAATCCTCACAGGACTAGGGCTGGGTGTAGACCTACCACCTCATTTCATGTAATGTGTTGGATGCACATCTAGTCTCCTTTTGAATGCCTTAGGCTTAAAAGTCCCACTTCAACTAAATGTGTCTCCTTCATGATTGTTCCCTGCTTCAAAACCCACTGGTGACTGCCTTCCAAAGACCTCCTGAAGTTGTAATCCAGAATCATCCCCCATCCCCTTACCTGAAATCCAAAATTTATGCGTTGACTTCATTTACTTAGCAAATAATGCTCTGTCGCTAACGCATCTCTCTGTACCAGGCTTCAAATAAAAATATCTTGCGATCCAGCAGTCCTTGCCATTGCTAAATCACTTTATTGGGGCAAAAAATATTCAAGTGCATTTTTTATTTGCAATTTTAACACCAAGGACTTTTATAATATTTTATTTTTGTAGATTAAAACTGCGGTAAATTAATCCACCTCTACACCTTGACCCAACCGATCGACTGATGCGGGATTGAGATAAAAATTACTGAGTGTTAACCTATGTACTTGGCACGGATTTTCATTCTCCCTACCTAAAAGCCGCTTTCACAGACATCGTACGCTGGCTATATGGCTGTTTGGTTATCTCATGGGAGATCACTGGTTAAAAATGCCTAATTTTGATAGCACGTCTCGCAATCTGGCATTAGGAGTTGTGAAGGGAATAAGGTACATCTATATCAAACCGGGACTTTCTGTTTTACCCCTATGAAAAGGTGGGCTGTCGGCCGAAGAAGAGTGACAAGTCAATCCTCCAAGCGTTACTGATGGTCAGAGCCAAGGTGACGGCTGGGCCAATTCAAACACTGTCAGACAAGATGACATGTAAGCAAGACTGCATAGATCAGCAAGCAAATGCGTTAAAGGCTCGACCGAATGAAGAGGTAATGCTTAAAATCCGTGGGTATCTATCCTTAGAAGCTCAGCAGTTAGAGAGAAGAACAAAGCAAATATCCGTATTTTAATGCAGTCTCGGTAGTGGCGATTTCCCGGACCAAACCGCAGCGGTTTTTTCTGTGAACATTTTAACTTATTATTGGCACACCCGAATAATTTTGGAGGCTTTTCTGGTACACACTCAGTCGTGGGACTTAAAAAAGAGGCGGATGCTTCTGCCATAACTGAGAATGAAAACCCAACATTTTCAAGGAACCTTAACGAAATGAAGCAGCCTTTTCCATGATCACTCAGTCCTACTAAAGCTGATTTTAAGTACTAATTTAACACCCGTAAGATGATTGAACACCTGAATAAGTAGAAGGACTGTATTAAAAAACGTAGAGTCAAGTCCACAAAATTATCCTTTTCTTGTTTTTATAAGCATAGAGGTTTACAATTGATTATGAAATACATAAATCTCCCGTAAAATCCCTCTAAATTTTTCACGTATGCAATTTCTCAGTCATTTGATGCCATGCAAAATTGGTGTGAATTCTTTAAGACAAAGTAAAGTTACAGAGTGAAGCACCCATCTTTGTAGAGTAAGGGAACTAAACTAAAAATGATTCACTTACAAACCCCAGAGGATGATTGAAAGTGATTGTTTTAATCTGCTAAGAAAAATAAAGCATTCATTTATTTAAAGAACACTAATATCAGTCGCGTTTCAGCACGCTCCAAGCCACTGACTTCGCGTGACTTGTGGGGACTTGAGAAATACAAAAGATGGTTTATATACCTGTGTCATTAAGCATGGATGTTTATGGGTCTGCCAGTTTATACTGTACACCTCCATGTGCTTTTGTCTTCCTCCCTAACCCCTCATATCTTCTCCC